TGACTATAGTCCTGGGGAACCTTAAGCTATCCCATGAGTTATTACATACTCCCCTGTGTTGATCATGCTTATCTCCGCTCATGTAGGCAGGAGGGGCGTTGACAGCCATTAACTATTAGGCTGTTAAGGTCATACAGCTTCTAAATGGTAGGCCTGCAACTGGACCCTCATCTAGTTTTCTGACTGTTCTCTATATGAGTAAATAAGAAAATGACACCTTCCTTTTTGAAAAGAAAATCATCATGAAGGCCTTTTGTGCTCTTTGTGTTTGTGACTGTGTTACTTTTATTTCAGTATCTTCATGCCTGTTATGTGCTAGGAACTTGCTGGGCGCTGGCTATCCATTTACTTATCTAATCCTCCCATCAACCCTGCGATATAGATATTCTGGTCTCTGTTTTACAACACAAGTGAAGTCTCTCTAGATTTGTTCATGGCACTGGTGAATTGTAGATATGGAATTGAACCCACTCTTTTTATTTATTATTTTATTTTTTTATTTGTGGCCATGCTGAGCAGCTTGCAGAATCTTAGTTCCCCGACCAGGGATTGAACCTGGGCCCTCAGCCGTGAAAGCACAGAGTCCTAACCACTGGACCACCAGGGAATTCCCTGAACCCGCTCTCTCTTACTCTAATGCTCAGCACAGTGAGAGCTGAGTGCCAGGAAAGCTGCATTAGAGGAAGAAAAAGGAGGAGCGAGAGCACACAGAAGACTCAAGGGAAACCATGGCCAATTACACAAAGTGGGTCTGTTGCCGTAGGGGTTTAAGGGGACACACTGTGGAGACAGAGAAAACTGGGTTTAAATCCCTCCCTGATTCTTACTAGTTCTGTGAACTTTAACAGTACATATCTTATCCTCTCAGATATTCAGTTTCATTATCTGAAAGTTGGAGACACAGTCATAATAATTTTAATTCTCATGAGGAATACATGAGGTAACTTCTATAGAGATCTCAGTGCACAAGTCCCGGAGTAAAATTAGGATTATGTAAATGTTAGTCCTAAATGATAATGATGATGATGGTGATAGTAGTATTATTTATAAACCTGAAGTTGCACAGCTATATCTGGCCAAGGAAGGGCTTTAATATAAAGCCAAGAATTTAAGTGGAATTAAAAAGAAAGATTCTAATTGAAGTCTCCTTAAAGACTGAGATAGATTGATAAAAATTTAAGAAATTATGAGAAAGATACCATTTTTTTTTAGTTGATTAGTATATTTTGCCTGAAAGGTTTTTGTTGCGTGGGTCATATTCTTTTAATCCGTGTGGCTTGAATATAAGACGTATGGATCCCTATTTGTCATATCTCTTAGTAAGGAGAAAATTAACAGGAGGCAGAAAGAAGGTTAAGGGGCTCCTCTTTGATTTGTGGAAACCAGTAGAAGTGTGTCAGGTGGGGAAGTCCAAGCGTTCTTTAGGTTTTGGGGTGGGGTGATGTGACACAATTACGTGTGTATGTGTGTGTGTGTGTGTGTGTGTGCGAGAATATGTGTGTGATTTGAGAGCAGCTGTATCCTTACATACCCAGCTGTAATGGCTCCATGGTAGAGATTTTTCCTCATGTTAAACCTCAATCTGTTTTATTGTTGTATGTTACTTTAAATAAATATTGATCCTTAAGCAATTGATTTAATGAAAATTAGGCAGCAAGCTCGCTCTTCTTCCCTTTTCTGTTCATTTTGGTCTCCCCATGGCTGGTTTCCTTAAAGCCTCAATGATTGTGGGGCATGTCATTACACCTTTCATAGTTTCCTAGGCTTGAAAATCAGTAAGCTGTATTAGTTAACCTCAGAGTCTCCTCCCGTCTCTCTAATTCTATAATTCCATGATATTTATAGTAACATGTCATGTGTGACCTAGGTTTACAGCTTGGACCATGTAGTTATAAGGCATTTGTTAGTGAGTCATTGTTCCTGTCATGGAAAGAACACTTACATGGACATTGAGTTAACACGAGCCTCTTGTTTGCAAGGCTGACTTGTCAGTAATGTTTTCATTTATTAGAAAGGTGATGTACTGTCCCTTTGCACAAGGATGAGTGTGGTGTATTACAGTCCTTGTAAATTTTGTACTCCCATGATGGTCTTAGCTCAGGCTAATGAGAGGTTGCTTGGAGTGACTCAGATTTAAACACTTGCACTATTATTCTAATCCAGTCTGTCTTCTGGAGTGTGAGTGATAGTCAAACAAGACGTTATTATTCTTAAAAATAATTTTTTTTAAATCAGCGCAATGTAAAGGATGAACTGTGTCAGCATCTTTCTTTTTTTTTGTGCCACTATGGCCTTTTTCCCGAATGACATTTTCCATGAATGCCTCTTTCTTTTCACTGCTATTTATATTTGTTGCTTGTTTTGATTTTCTTAGAGCTTTCCATATGGTATCATTTCTTTGTATCAGACACCATGATCTCATGAGAAAAGCGAGCATACCCAAGGGTGACCTGGGACTGTACCTTTGTTTCCAGAACTCAGGAAAACTTTTGCCTTCCTGTCATTGATGTGTGTTCTGAGCATCTGTTGACATTCTCTTTAGATTCCTTTCTCTTGAGTGGACATACCCATAAAGGAGAGGTATTGAAATATGTGGCCATCATAAATGAATACGAAGCATGCTGTTAATAGGAAATTCCGTGTAACTTTTAAATATGCATAGTAAAAACCCTATTGTATGGATTTGAAGCGTGTCATTTTTAGTGACTAAGCATGCAGGCATATAAGTCCCTTTTATTTGGTCATGGCTTGCAGTTTGGTTCTTTCAGAACTAGTGAAGATAATAGTAATTCACATAGAATACGCTTCATGTGATATCAATTAAAATAGCACTAATCGGGACTTCCCTGGTGGTCCAGTGGTTGAGAATCTGCCTTCCAATGCAGGGGTTGCGGGTTCGATCCTTGGTTGGGGAAAAAAGATCCCACTTGCCGCGGGGCCACTAAGCCCGTGCGCCACAACTAAAGAGCCCTCAGGCTGCAACTAAGACCCAACGCAGCCAAAAAAAAAAAAAAAAAATTAATAAATAAATGTTTTGTAAAAATAGCACCAATCGGCCTCATAATGAATCATTTGGCTTCCTTAGACGTCCATTTCATCATCCTTGGAATGTGGAAATAGGTCTAGAACAGGGTTTCTCAGACTCAGTATATCGAGATTTGGGTCAGTTAATTCCTTATCCTGGGGAGGGGCTGTTCTGTATATTGTTGAACTTTTAGAAGCAGCCCTGGCCTCTACCCACTAGATGCCAGTAGCATCCCTTTAGTTGTGACAAACAAATGTCTCCTGACATTGCCGAAATTGCTGCCCCTGTGAGAACTACTGGTCCCGAATCACATTTTAAAGGTATATTCAATTTATTTATTTATTTGGCTGCATTGGGTCTTCGTTGCTGTGCGCAGGCTTTCTCTAACTATCAAATGGTATGATTCTAAGAGTTGGTGAATATAATAATTATGAGATTCTTGTGACAATTTCTTCTGTGGAGGGATATGAATGAAGAATAGAGTTTATTTTCCTTCTGCCTCTTTGGAAGTCTCTCTTGGTATGGTTTAAATATTGCTGTGAACTTGTTCCTTCCATTAAAATTCGATGACTCAGTTATCAACGTGTGACAGAGGACACAGGAGAAAAGCCTTTGAACAAACAACACTTTATGTTTATGGATTTAATACATATTGTTGGGATGGACTAGGCTACTGGGTGAGTGGTTACTCAACATAGTCATTAAAGGTAAGTCCTGGAACATAACAGACATTCCAAACTATCGGCTGAACGGAGGGAGGATGGTAGTTGGGCAGGTGAATGAAGGATCTGCTATTGCCAGTTCATGAGGCTTTAGGAAGGGTACGTCATCAGTGACACCTAAAAATGATGGTCATGAAAGCAAAGGAAGGAGGTCATTGGATGTGAGCATTCAGAGCCCCTTTCATCCTTCCATGATTCCCTCCAGGTACCTGCCTGCCTCTGTCTTTCCATAGCCATTTCCTTACATCTCTCTCTCAGGCCCTATATCCTTACTTGCCTGCCCTCCTCCCCTTTTTCAGATTTTTTGGATGTGGACCATTTTTAAAGTCTCTATTGAATTTGGTACAATACTGCTTCTGTTTTATGTTTTGGTCTTTTGGCCACGAGGCATGTGGGATCTTAGTTCCCCAACCAGGGATCAAACCCGCACCCCCTGCATTAGAAGTGCAGAGTCCTAACCACTGGACTGCCAGGGAAGTCCCTTTTCCCCCTTTTATATTTCTTGCCTGAACTGATTTTATTAGAGTTTAAAATATTGTATCACTTCTTTGAATCAGACATCATGATCTCATGAAAAAACGGAACCCATCACGTTTGCCTGTAAATCCACATCTGGGCATTCTTGAGGGAAGGAGAGTTTAATGGTTCTTCTCTGGTCATCTGAATCAAACCAGTGATGTGATTCCTGACGGTCTTTGAAAAATCACCTCCTTTTGATTTTCTAGAGTCCCATGTCTTTCTTTGATAATTTATTCCAGAAAAATTAAAGGTTTTGGTCAAAGTACCTTATGTTGATAACTCTGATTGATGGATTCCATGTTAATGTCCTCATCATGATATTATTAGTTTGGCACAGAAGAGTATTTCTTCCATTTTACAGTTAAAGAAATCGAGGGTCCAATTTGTTAAGACATAGAGCCAAGTGTCTATAGTAAGTGAGTAGTTTAGTTATATGAAGGTTAGAACTTCTGAGCTCAGATCCGTATCACCAAGATGGAGGATAGGATCGAGGTATGATAAATAATTTGATACGAACGTCGTACTGAATCTGTAGGACCAGAAAATTGAAACATTTTTCTTCATGTTTTGTTTTAAAGTCATAAAAATAATTATCTAGGGTGCTACGTCAAGGTACCATGGCTTTGATTTCATGGGAATATCTTCTCTAAAACGGACACGCGACTGAACATGAAGAACTGTCCTGTGAGTTTTATTTTAGCAAATTTTTCTCACGATCTACTTTTTTCTCTTAGACCTTCTCTGACCATGCCACATAGGAATCTGACAGGAAGCTGCAATGTGAATTGTGGTTGTAAAATACATGAGTATGAGCCAGTCTGTGGATCGGATGGAATTACATACTTTAACCCTTGTCTGGCTGGCTGTGTTAATGGTGGTAACATGAGCACTGGGGTGAGTATATTTCACAAGTTCCTGTACTGTTGTTAGATTTCATATGCAAACACAAGGCTTCAGTCTCCCTTTTCAAGAAACTTCAAATAATCTACAAAATACCTTCTGTCAAACACCCAGAGGAAAGAAAATTATGCAATACTATATCATTTTTTTTCCAGGGATGATTGGAGCATTTGTGTATAGTGATCTGATTCCACATCAGCACGCCCCTGCTTACATTCTGTGCCAACCCAGTGAAATTTTATAAGGTTGAATGCTAGCTTTCTCCTTTGTTACCCTGACAGGGCCCTTGTGATGGACTTGAAGGTCAAGACGACCACATTTGGTGCTGATAGAAGAGAATAGGAGAGCACCTCCCCTGATCAGAGCCTGTAGATGGGCAATGGCCATTTTTCATAGACTATCAGTTCAGACTTTTTTTTTAAACGTTCAGAGTAAAGATATTTCTGTCAGTTCAAGAATAGGCTATTTTGAGAATTCCCTTCCCCGTGAATTATAAATAGTCTGTAATACTGTGGGAGAAGGTTTTCATATTCTACTCAGTTCTTTATTGAGCCTTGTTTCATTCTTTACGTAAGAACAGATTGTAGGAGGCTGCTTTCATTAAAAGGTTAAAGTGCATTTACTTGTTCTGTGCAGGCGATATGGGACTATACTGTTGACTGCCTCTTTTGGGGATGTCATATTTGATTTCTGACTTGTAAACTATAGTGATAAATTGAGATTCCTTTTGCTGGCCCCCCGTTATGTAATTGGTGAGCTCCAGGGTGTGACTGAATTGAAAGGGACAATGAGATCTATTCTCAGTGGCTAAGTTCTTCCCTGGGAGTGACTGAGTCCTCTGGTACAGCGTGCTTATTTTGTTTTAACTTTAAAAATAACTTTATTACACTCACTTGATATCATGCTGAAAATTGACAACACAAGCGTATAAGTAGCACATAAGCGTGAAGTGTCTCGGTCTTATCACAATTTGAAAAATTGATACATACTTTTCTAACAACAGAGGCATGGATTATTCCTATTTAAGCAGCCATGTATACAACTTGTCTTCTAGTCTAGTTATTGGAAAGGATAAATCAGAAATATGCAAAGATGTCTTGCTACACATTGTAGGGTTAACCAAACAACACACTAAAAACTCAATTCATAAAGAAAACCAAGAGCATTGCATAATTAAAACTCGATAGCAACTTTGACCAACCTTACCCGTGGCAATAAATGTGGACGTAAGTATGCCTAAGGAGGTCATGCACACAGATGACCACGTGTCCTATTTTATGGAATCTAGTTCCATTTCTGGACTATCTTTCCTGGGAGTGCGAAAAGAAGGGGGTGGAAGGAGATAACATCAGGCTTTCTGGACCTTACTCTGGTCATTTGCCAAGATAAACAATAACCTGAGGCTTCAAAACTCTCTTCAGGGGAGTGGGGAAAACATGGGCTCCTTGGGGATCATATCCCCGGGTCAGCCATCATTCTTACAAAGAGGCCCACAGTCCTTGGAGCACAGGCAGTCAAACAGTGGCCCATTTGTTCCTCCTGCTTCTCTAGGGGGTCAACAGGTCACAATGACAGTGAATTCATCTGGTGTCCATTCAGTAAAAGCAGCATAATAGGCAGGAAAGGTTAATTGGCTGTTTTGTTTGAAACACGTTTTTAGTCCCTTGCATTAGCTGGTTTCAAATGAAACAGCCAATGATATGTTCACTATTATAGACGCTGAAGTCATCACGGTTGCGTTATGAATTCTCTGTATTTATTTAACAGATGTTTACTTTAGGTCCTACACTGTGTTCAGGGTTATGCTAGGCACTCTGGTGAGCACAAATAAAAATAAGGCTTAGTTGCTGTTTTTGAAGGGCTTCTTTAATTGGAGAGCCCAAGAATTAAGCAGCCATGGAAACAGCATACGATTATGACCCCGAATGAGCATATGGGATGTGAATGGTATAGAATTGAATGCTGAAAGCTTCTTATCAAACTTTAGGTTTAAACAATCTTGACCAGCAGATTGTGACGTTGTTAGATGCACTCTTTGGATCCTAACTGTTAAAACGAGGAAGATATTTTCTTTTCTTTCTTTTTCTTTTTGGCCGCTCTGTGAGGCTTGTGGGATCTCAGCTCCCCAACCAGGGATTGAACCCGGGCCATGGCAGTGAAAGCCTGGAATCCTAACCACTAGGCCACCAGGGAACTCCCAGAAGATATTTTCAATGAAATATTCTGCATATTTTTAAATACTAGAGTGATTTTAGAGCATTTTAACTTTGTCTGACTATTCCTGTGCTGAATTTTGCTTAGCATCCAACTGATCTTTGTTATCACTTAGATACGGAATTACACAGAGTGCACCTGTGTCCAAAGCCGCCAAGTGATCACGCCTCCCACAGTGGGGCAGCGCAGCCAGGTCCGCGTGGTTATTGTCAAAACGTATCTCAATGAGAACGGCTATGCTGTGTCTGGGAAGTGTAAACGGAGCTGTAACACCCTCATCCCGTTCTTAGTTTTTCTGTTCATAGTGACCTTCATCACAGCATGTGCCCAGCCATCAGCCATCATAGTAACTCTCAGGTGAGGACAGCATTCAACGTCTAGGGTGGGTTATACACTCAGAGTTGCCAGAATTCCTGGTCCAGACTGGGGGCTGATGTGGTAAAGCAAGGAGGAAAGCAACGTGAGATTGTGCAGGAAAGTGCTCAGACATTTACCTGGTGAACTTAAGAGAAGGGAGTTTTCCCATGTCAGGAAAGGAAAGGAAGACGGTAACATTTCATACTTCCGAACTTTCTTTATTCAGATGCGTTCTCTCCCTATAGGTCAGGGAAACTTATTTTGGGTGCCTTTGGTCCCTGAAGTCTCTACCCTAAAAGGTTCAAGTTCAGGAACTGAAAGCCGTGACCGTTGTAGCTACAAGAAACCTGGCCCTAGAGGAGGCGGCAAGTCATTTGGGGAAGTTGCTAAATTGTGCACATAGCGAAGAATATTATCTCCAACCTTGTAGATGGTTAATACTCCAGGATCCGTGCCATTGCTGCTGGTCTTGCAGTTCCAAATGCTGCTTTAATAAATTTCACTGTCATAAAATTTTGACATTGAATCAAGGAAAGGGCAGACCCGGAAACGTATTTATTAGGTTGTTCATGCTGTGCTTTCTTTGCTGTGTTACATATCCTGTTCGTGTTGTCTGGCTTCTAAGAGAGAATGTGAAAGTTACCCGAATGGAAGCCCTATTTAAAATGCTGATACCAGCACATTCGGATCAGAGTTTTGGTATTCGCAGTAAAGACTGCAGTGGACCAAGGAAGGAAGGGGGGCAGCGTGGTGAAGAAAAGCACGCCCACAGCAGCCTTAGGGGGGCTGGGATGCAGGGTGATGAGGGAGTGAGGGGTGTCAGTCTCTATTCTCCCTTTTATGTCCTCCCTGGTTCCTCAGTACCCCACAATGCTGGGCACCTGGTGGGATGCATCTGCTGAGACGTCATTCTTAGCAGGGCAGTTGGGCTGCTCCCATGCTTTTTCTGCATGTTCTGACTTCCCTTCTATGGGATGCTGAGTTAGACGACGTTCAGCCGATGCATTCCTTGATAGATAACAGCACACGAAAGTCCCATTGGTCCCAATGGTCGACTCGCTCAGTTCCTCCATCAGCAGATACTTACGGAGTATCAAAAATGTGTTCCAGACTGGGGAAATTGCTATGAGAAAATAAAGAAATTAGGGGAAAAGATGACAAACATGCTGGTCCTTGGGAATTTTACATTATATACTAAGAACCCTATGTGTATGGGATAGAAAGGATAAAGTACTTCGTCATGAAAAAATGTGAATCATTAATAATGTAACACTTTGAACTTTAATTCTACAAGAGATGTTAAATAACCCAGATAAGGGCTGCCCATTTTATAATGTTCAAACATGGCAGATCACCAGTTGGCTTCTAACCCAAAACTTGAGAAAAGGATCCCTTTAATCTTTACTAATTACAAAATCAATAGACTCCAGTCTTCCTGCCATGTGGGAATTACTTGGAGCATAAGTTTTAGGAAAAGAAGAGAATGTGAGGTGACTGGGGAGGGTTCATTCTTTTTCTAACTTTTGACTTGTTTCCTACACATTTGGGGACCATTTTTTTAAAAAAAACCTGTTTTCTCTATACTTGAGAAATTACAGGAGTCATGTTCAGTGTACACACCTACCATTCTGGAAAGTGCAGGCAAACAGAGAAAAAGAATGCAATAGTTAAGATAAAATGCTATATATATATATAAATATATATATATATATAATTTTTTTAACAGAATTGATTTTGCAAACTCAGAGCCACTTCTGTACCTTCAGCAAACTCAGTTAGAGCCGCTCCTGTACCTTCACCTTCTATACCTTCAGCTCTGAACCTTTGTCCTTCCACCGTTATTTACACAAAAAATAGAGTTAATCGGAGTTTCTTTGCAGTCTCACTGGGGAGACCTTTATTTGGTGATTTAGCCATAATCGGTCTTGTTCTGCTATTGTTAGTAAATTCTAGCGAATTCAGTATTTTGGCCCAGCATGTTTGGTCCCTGGCTCTGCCGCTAAGCAAGCTTGATTTGACATTCATTTTCCTCAGGCCGTTATTCTAAAACATTTCTTTCTTTACCTTCTTCGTAGGTCCGTAGAAGATGAAGAGAGACCTTTTGCCCTGGGAATGCAGTTTGTTTTATTGCGAACACTTGGTATGTTCCTGTATTTCCAAGAGTGCCTCTCTGTTCCTCTTTGTAGATGGCAAATTTCCACTGTCCTTTAAAACTGGCAAGTCATTTGTTACCATTCATAGTAGCTAGGATTTCACAGGTTAGTGGCGAGGCACAACTTCCTCATTTCCTGACTTGGACTAAAAGCTGACCAATTTTGTCACTGATGAAAGAAAACAAAACTGACTTTAGATCATTTTCTCTTTCACTGTGAACATAAACTTGGGCTAAATTCCCCAGAGTTTTGTAGAGTAAGAAATCTTGAACCAAGAAATTGTTACGGGCTTATGATCCTGTTTTTTTGGTCCCTTTTGTGCCTTTGTAACATGAAAGTGATGGGAATTGGTGCTCATTTTTTTTTTGTGTGTGTGTGAAAACTTCAATTCCTTACTTCTTTCCAGTCATTTTATTGGGCCGGGTAAAGAGTATACCGATCAAGTTTCCTGAGGAAAAGAGATTAAAAATTCTACACACACACAAAAAAAAAAAAAAAAAAAAAGAAAGTTTTCCAAACTGATATATAAGGACTAGGTTTTGCTTATTAACAAAAGAAGCTCGTTAGTGCTATGTCAGTGGGGTAAGTCCCAGAGTTTATTTGGACATGAAGAATAGCCTTCTGGTTTTTACAAACACTACATCACTTGTGATGTCTTGCGACAGTGACTGGGAAACAGCGTGTGAAGTGGCCCATTCCCTTGGTGGATTTCAATGTATTTTTATATGACTTCCTCATCGTCAGGCATATTTTTTCTGTCTTAAGTGGCAGTCTGTCATCTTCTTCAGCTGTTATTTTCCCCAGTAATCAGTATCATTGTCCACAGCACAAAAAATTACTTCTTTGATTCAAGCTGCTTATTTCAATCTTGAAGGATGAAACATTTTAAACCCTTAAAAATCATCTGGCCCTTGACAACATGAATGCGCTCTGAAATTCTCATTTTGTCTCATGTTGTGCTCGATGGCCCAGACTTAGAGTGAGGACTTGTCAGTGGGCATCAAAGGCTTCTGGTTGCTTTGAATTAGGTGGCTTATTATTTTTTTTTTAAGTATCAGATTTTAATTTTACTTATTTTGCGGAGGGGGCGCCGTGCCACATGGCTTCTGGTATCTTAGTTCCCTGACCAGGGATTGAACCCCCGCCATGACAGTGAAAGCACCAAGTCCTAACCACTGGACCGCCAGAGAACTCCCTGGGCGGCTTATTTTTTTGGTAACATTAATACTTTGAAAGCACCGTTTTCCAAAGAACGCTGGTTCAAGGAACTACTGACATTCTTTGATTTAGTTAAGAAGTTTGCCTTATACTTCTCATTGAAAACAAAAAAGTTATTTTCAAAGAAGGAAATTTGTTTAGCAAAGGGGTAGTTGAATAAGAAAAGAAAAAAGTAGTTCCTCCTTTTTGCTTGGCCTGTCTCTGATGCGAGGGGCTTGGGTGATTTCATATGGATGCGGAATAAGTCAAGAGATGCACACCACAGCGTAAGGAATTAGTGGAGGGAGAACAGACATATCAGGCATTTATTATTTAATTCAACCTTACCTTAAGTTCCACTGATTATGAAAAAGTATAGTTAGGCCAACCAGCCACTTTCCATTTCCCCAAGTGCCAAAGCAAAAAGAGAGTTTCAGGTATTTCAATGATGTTAAATTTTTGAAAAGTGAAACATAGTCGATGTGCAATATTATGTTAGTTTCCAGTGTACTACATAACAATTGGACATTTGCAAACATTACAACATGATCACGATGATAAATCCAGTAACCATCTATCCCCATACAACATTATTATAATATTATTGACCGTAGTCCTTATGCTGTGTATTACATCCCTGTGACTTATTTATGATTTAAGTTTTGTACCTCTTAATCCCCTTCATCTATTTTGCCCAGCCCAATAATGTTACATTTCAGTTGTAGTGACCATATCTCCTTTTAAATGAATACAGCGTATTTAAAAATGTATCACTTGGGGGACTTCCCTGGCAGTCCAGTGGTTAAGACTCCGTGCTGCCAATGCAGAGGGCTCGGGTTCGATCCCTGGTCAGGGTATTAAGATCCCACATGCCGTGCGGTGCAACCAAAAGATAAAAATGTACCACTCGCAGCCTCCTGGGCTATTAGCCCACCTGTCCTCTCTCCCTTCTTCCTCTCCTCCTTCCCTTCCTCCCTTCTCTCTTTTCTTCTTCCTTTCCTTCCATTCATCACTTCCTTTTATAAACTCTTACTGAGGATCCATGGGCTGTCCTGGTAGGTCCTTGGGATGTGAAGAATAAAAGGCATGGTCCCCGCCATCGAGGAGCTTATGGGTGACAGATTTACAAATAGTTTAAATACTGGGTGATAGTGGACAAAATGGAGGTGTACACAAAATGCAATGGTAATATGGTAGCATCTGAATGAGTCAGGAATTTAAAGGGGGAGTAGATATTTGCAAGGTGAACAAGTTGGGAATGGCATGTGATGAAGGAAGTCTACTTGGGTAGACATTTTTCCTTATGGGAGTAAAGAAATGTCTACATCGTAGCCCAAACAATGAAGCTGCTACTCATCACAGGTGCTGCATAAGCTGTAAAGATGAATATTATGCCTTATTTATTTCCATTCTCCAAGAGCCATTTGATGTGGTTTCCGACTTATAGGGCACAGTGCTTGCCTTATACTCTTCCTGCATCCAAGGCTAGAACCCAACCCACAAGAACTAAGTGTACTGAATTTTTGTGGATCATAAAGGGTTCTAATATGGCCAGCTGTGTATTTCATAACAAAATCTGATTTTTTAAGTTTAAAAGGAATCCCTAATTGCATTTCTTTTTTTTCTCAGCTGGGCAGAGAGGATCTTAGGTCCCACACCAGGGATTGAACCCTGGGGCTACGGCAGTGAAAGCACCGAGTGCTAACCACTGGACCGCCAGGGAGCTCCCCTCCCTCATTGCATTTTTATCAATAGAAATTTTTATGTCTAAAGATGTGTTAATGCTTTTTAGACATTTTATATCATAATATGTCAACTATAATAAATAATAATAAATTATAAAATAAATATCATAAAATCCCTAAAAACCAAAACACATCCTGACTGAGTTGCAAACTAGAAGATTTAAAGTATTTACAATTTAGTGAGCATTTCTATGATAAGAATATTATGAAAAGATGTGGTACATATTTACAAAAAATCAAGTAACACGAGAAAACCGCTCCCTTCAACTGGTTTTTAGAGCTAACAAGCATCCTGTTCATTTACAGATCTGTTTCCTCTTACAAGATGTGCTAACTAGTTCCCTTTTTCTTTTTCTCCAACAACTCTAGCATACATTCCTACTCCGATTTACTTTGGAGCAGTTATTGACACCACCTGCATGCTGTGGCAACAGGAGTGTGGCGTGCAGGGCTCTTGCTGGGAGTACAATGTCACATCATTTCGTTTTGTCTATTTTGGTTTGGCAGCTGGCCTCAAACTTGTTGGCTTCATTTTTATTTTTTTGGCCTGGTACTCCATTAAATACAAGGAGGAAGAGCTACAGAGGCAGAGGTGGAGGGAATTCCCTCTGAGCACTGTGAGTGAGACGGTGGGCCACACCGACAGTGCCGATAAGTCTGTCCGGACTAGATCCTGCCCAGCTTTCGGCACCCAGGGAGAATTCCACGAAGAGACTGGTCTGCAAAAAGGGATCCAGTACACAGCACAGACCTATCCGGGGCCCTTCCTAGAAGCAATAAGTTCCTCCCCAGACCAGGGGCTGGAAGAAAGCCCTGCTGCCATGTAGCCTCCCTTCTGAAGCTTGAAAATGGAAGACTTTTGTTGGTTGAGTTGAATATGGTGACTCGAGAAACACCCGTGCCTTCTTTTCTTTCTTTCTTTTTTTAACCTCTACAGACACGATCCTCAAACCAACAAAACTCAGTATACACAGCCACTGTTGATTGAGGGCTGGATACCTCAACAAGACTGAGCCTTTCCCCGCTTCTCTCCAAGAAGAAGGAGTTTAGATAGATTTGTTACCATTTCTGAGTTGTTAATTTTGACGCTAATGCTCCAATATGGTATAAGGCTGGGTGCATGATTAACAAAATCATGGGAAGTGTGATGGCGGTGCATATCATTAGCATGCACTCTGAACAAGGGTGAGCTTGACCATGATTTTGCATTGACAAAGCAAAGTGTTTAGATATGAACACCTACTGTGAGTCCTGCTACAAAGCACAAATGAATTTGCCTCAACTATGCAATTTGATTGGGAAACTGTAAGTGCAGCATGTTACTTTTGGTGTCAGAGACTAAAGCAGATACGGTTCTGAAATTAGGAAGCTAAACTTTCCCTAAAGTACTGTTAATAGCATTGTAAGCCATAGCAGAGCTAAATATCAGGTAGAACTTTTCAAATGCTTCAAAGGAACCTTAAGCGTAGCGTGAAAAAGGGAACAGCTACTTCGTTTCATAAGACACATTCTCTTTTAGTCTATCTGCCCCACCGTAAAGGAGTTAAAGAAGCTGCTGAATCATGAACCTGAGAGCATGAATAGCAACTTCAGGATTCTTTCATAAGGGGTTTTAACACTCGTGTGCTAAACAATATGGCTAGAAACTGTCATTTGAGATGCATAATAAGGAAAGAAACTGATGGCTTTCTCATCCAAAGAAAATTGCTGCAGAAATTTTTAGTTTTTTTTTTTTTTTTTTTTTTTTTTAGTATAAATTCATTTATTTATTTTCGGCTGCATTGGGTCTTCGTTGCTGCGTGCAGGCTCTCTCTAGTTGGCAACGAGTGGGGGCTACTCTTCGTCGCGGTGCGCAGGCTTCTCATTACGGTGGCTTGTCTTGTTGTGGAGCATGGGCTCTAGACGCGCAGGCTTCAGTAGTTGCAGCGCACAGGCTCAGTAGTTGTGGCTCGCAGGCTCTAGAGCGCGGGCTCAGTAGTTGTGGCGCACGGGCTTAGTTGCTCCGCGGCATGTGGGATCTTCCCAAACCAGGGCTTGAACCCGTGTCCCCTGCCTTGGCAGGTGGATTCTCAACCACTGCGCCACCAGGGAAGCCCTCTTTTAGCTTTTAAGGACCCACATAAGGGTTGTTGAGGATTGCAACCTTGACACTCAAAATAGTTGGAAAAAGAAATCCCACACAAGTAAGATTGAGTCTCACCTGACCATTTTACTTATATACCTGGAAGCACTAGCCCATGTGTAGCTTTCTTTTTTATGTGCAGAAAATTGCTGCAGTCACTCTGAAATGATGTCATTTAATCAAGAAGATCACCTTGAACACAGGAGGAGGGAGATCTGTGAGCTGGATTTAGGTTATGATCCCAAGTAATGGTTAAAAATTATGTAAAATAAACTGGTCTGTCGTACTGAATCCTACCTTATCTGAATCATTTTATACCTCCATTTAATTCCTTTCTATTGTAACCTTCTTGAAGTGACTCTGAGAGAGGAGTTTTCTGTTCCCAAATGCCCTTGGTGTTCAACATCCATCACCCTTTTCAGTATCTCCCAGCACATCACTTTGATTTAGATGCCACACAGATTGTTTTCTATATGGTCCTTAAGGTAGATGCCTCCTGACGGCACTGTGAACTGATGGCAAGTTAACTCATGGAATCTGGCTGCTCAGAAAAAGAATCATGACAACTCAGACTTAGGAGGGACTATAACGTACAAATATCAATATGATTGTGGACGGTGTCTGCCAATGAGCCTATGCTTCTGTAAGGCTAATTTGGGAAATGGTTTCCTTGGCAGATTTACAGTCTTCCACAGAAGGGATGAGACTGACCCATGGTTCTGGCTTTTTGCCCTCCATCCATGGCTGCATAGGTGGAGTTGTGTGAATATTCCTGGGTTCAAGGTTGTCTTCTTCTCTACCTAGGAATGTCATTGGTCAAATGGTTCTCTTGGTTGCATGCAGTTTATGGAGAGGGTTCTCATTGTTAGACTAAATAATGTCTACAAGGGGTGGAGTCAGTGGTCCCAGGTGACAAGGACTTCCCTTGGGGCAGACTTGTTCGGCTAAGTCATGAGGAGCATCGTTGCCTGTAATTACACTGTGTCTGTCAAACTGGTCAACTCGGTGTAGTTTGAAGGTCTTCAGAGAATTTTGCTGATTATCTTCTTGTCTACTCTGGGGGCTTAGTGATCCCCTTTACCCTTTGTGGGAGATCTTTAATCCTTTAGAAGAGAAAGTTTCCTTTTGTGTTGGAGCTAAAGATACGTAGATTGGGAATAGGTGTTTTCTTAATTTTCCTCTGATGGTTAAGAAACTGCACTGAGAGAATTTTAGTGGGATTGGCACTTTTTTTTTTTTTTTTTGTAGCTAAGATTGTGTGTTCCAACACTCTTAGAATTTCTCTCTTCTTAGTAGCACATTTTGAAAAGGAGCTGCTCTTAGAAATGTACGACCTGAAACGATGGACTCATCAAGTATTAGAGACCCTCTCCCCCTTCTCTACCATGAACAGTCATCCAGTTCAGCCATCACTGACTGAGCACCATTTCCCTATCAGGCACCATTCTACCAATTACCATCTGCCAACCTATGAAATCCTTTGGGTTGATTAGGCCATAATTCAAAGAAATTGGCCTGAACTGTGCACCACAATGTTAATATTGTACTTCCTCAAGTATCTGGTACTTATAAATAGCAGATATATCATTACTGTGTTGTTGGTGAATGTAGAATAAGTGGTAAAAATCTTGGGGGACTGACATTTTGGAATATGTACCAAATAAGAGTTGTCCCCAAAATGCTTTGGGTTCTGGTGGCATCATTGGACTATTACATAGTCAACTGAAGTGACAACTTGATAGATGACACCATTTAATTGTATATATATATGAGGTCCTTTTATGCTTGATAATAAATTGGTCGTGTTACTTTAGAGTCACCACTCCTGTTAAAAGTTTAATTGCCACTCTCCGTTAGCTTAGGCTCCTAATTACTTATTTTTTGGAAAGGTCACCTTCTTCTTTTAAAAACTCTATAGATGAATGTATTATTTGACTTTAATATGCAAATGTAATATCCTGAGTCTAGCCTATTAATTTAGAAACCCCAGGGGGTGGAGTGGACGGTTAGTACACATTATTCTGGTTATCTTCTGTAGCTTGAAATCCATATCCTTTGTAGGTGGATGTAACTCTTGAAAACAGTCAAAAGTCATTCAGAACTAGGGTAGGGGAAAGAAAGGAGCAGCAGAGAGGAAGCAAATTAGCATTTGTTGAATGTTGACTCTTGGCAGAGTGTTTTTGTCGAGCACTTAACATACATCATGCATTTAAATCCTCTTAATAACTTTGCAAGATAACTATTTTTATTGTTTTTCTTTTTTGAAAACAGATCATGAAAACTGAGGCACAGAGGGTTAGTGTGATTTGTTTAGGATTGTACATAGTGGCCAAGTCAGGGTTCAGACACATGTTTCTCTATTGTGCACTTCTTACACTACATAATGCCGGACAGTAGTTTTGGTTAACATAGGTAAGATGTGACTATAAGACAGTGAGGTGAAGCATTTCATTTTTTGATGTGTTACTGTTTCTGAAGAGTAATTATTATTTCCTTGTGTAAAACAGAAAAAAAAATCTGTAGGAAACATCAAAATTTAATGTTTTGATTTTCAAGGTAAATTTACATTTATTTACTGAAGTCTTATATTCACAATTGTTTGTCCTAACATACCTCAAGTATTTATTTAGAGTTCCTATTTAATATAGAACAAATCCAATTTTAATGTTAACATTTAGTCTTAGTAGAGTTTCTGAAATGAATCTTAATGAGGAAAGGTGGTTCCGATTTGTTGAATCTGAGTTTGGGGGATTTCAAGTGTATGCTTTCCCTCCCCCCTTTCAGAATGTTAACATTTATATTAGTTTTTTTAAGTGACTATAGCTTTTAAGTTTCTTAATAAAAGTTTTAAATGGACACATACAAAGTGTTGCATGTTCAGTGAACAGATAAGTGTTGTATGTTATAAACCAAACCACAATCCCATTGTTCCTGATTGGTACCATTAGTAGCTGCAGGAAAAAACAGGAACCTGTGCCTAGAAATGTCAGCTTACCTGCAGAAGGTAATGGCAGCCCTACCTTTTTACCAACCACCAAGACACTTCTCCCTTAGTCTGCATTTCCAGTTTGCATTGTTTGGTAGACTTGGAGCCAGAGAGTTTCTTTTTGGAGCCTGTTTTGTATCAACTACAAGTGCACCAAAGGGGAGAGAAGCTTCATAGTTTGAATGGACCTGAAGCATTTGCAGAGATTCTCTAGTTGTGCCCGGGAGCAGCAGGAGAGGCCAAGCCTGGAGTGGTAGCCAGTTATACTCTGTGACATCGTGTGCACTTCAAACATCCTACGTGGCACAGAAATATGAACGTAACTATTGATATATAGGTGCATACTGAGTAGTCTAGGTAGCAGGTAGATATCAAAATACTGCATAATTCCAGAATTGCCTAGACTGCAGTTTTGCTAATTCTGTTAATACAGACTGGTAGATATCCTTTACACACACATATTGGCATTTCCTCTTTCATGGAACGGAAGGGAGTGCCATGGCTGGTAAGGCGAAGTTCGTGGCCTCGCGCACTTTATCTTTTCTGTCTTCTCTCCTTTCCTTACCTTCCAGGATGCTGCTGGGATCTGTCCCAGACTTCTTGCCACATAGGAGTCAGATCTGTGTATGTTTGAAGAGGTTATTTTAAGCACTTCGTTTTTACTCAGCCCTAGGAAGGGTCAGATATGACGAAAACCCTCCCTGGGTATTTGCTTTTGCAACATTAAAAAATAAATGCCTCGGTGCTAGAAGTATTTGATGATGCATGCTCACCGCAACAATGCACCACTGAATTCACAGCATTTCACTGATAAGGGGCAGCATGTGCTTTGCTTTTGGAAATCTGAAGAACTACTCAGAAAACAAGCGCTCATTACTCGTTACTACAGTTAATCCATGAACTTTACACTGCAAATATGGAGTGTAAGGGTGAATACTTTTCTACGGAAAACTCAGCGCTTTTGATACTTATTTAAGCAAGAATAATCATGCTACAAAGAATTTCAGAGAGAGGGGAAAATATATTTCAGATAATCTTTTCTTATTTCTTCTCCAAAAAAACCTTACGCCCATGTAAGGTGTTTTTAATATTGAGGTTTTGAAGGTGTTGTCTTTTTCTGGTATTCTACTGTTACATAGTAAAATTGAAGGAGAAGATATTATTGAAAACTAAAGTAATTGCAGGGACATATTAAACCAAAGGGGTGAACAAAACAAGTTTAAAGTTTGTATGTAGAAATGAAAACTAAGGATAATTGGTAAGGTATTATAGTGGGCATTTTTCTTAAAATACATACCTCTACCCCAAATATTAATTTAGAAACATGAAACAGGCAGGTCAGCCTCTAACTCTTTAGTTAAAGGAAATGTAATACTGTGTCAAATAAACTGGCATTAGGATCCTAGTGGAGTGTGTGTTCAGCGTGTGTGTTTTTGTGTGTAGGGCTGTGCTTGTGATGAAAGGCTGTTTTGAGTTGTTGCGTAAAGGAGTTTGATTTTGTGATTTTTAAAATGAATATTTATTTGGAGACCTCTTAGGGTAATGAGAAAGATGTATAATTCCTGTGTTTAATGAAATCTATTGTCAATGTGCTAAT